GTCAATAACACGCTCTTATTATCGCAATTCTGTGGGTGGCCTGCTAGTATTTGACATCACAAATCGACGATCTTTTGAACATGTGAAGGACTGGCTGGAAGAAGCAAAAATGCACGTGCAGCCCTTTCAGATTGTGTTCCTGTTAGTGGGACACAAATGTGACTTAGTGTCACAGCGCGAGGTTACAAGAGAAGAAGCTGAAAAACTGTCATCTGACTGTGGTATGAAATATATAGAAACTTCAGCAAAAGACGCCACAAATGTTGAAGAGTCCTTTACAATTCTTACACGAGACATCTATGAACTTGTAAAAAATGGAGAAATCTCAATACAAGATGGATGGGAAGGTGTCAAAAGCGGCTTTGTTCCAAATGTTGTACATTCATCAGAAGAAGCTGTAAAGCCCAGGAGACAATGCATCTGCTGAGTTTGTAGCATGCCAAAGAGCCCATGGGGTGTTTAGAAGATGATGCCAATCTAAATGACAGAAAAATAATTTTGAAACCATATTAGATCATGGCATAGCTGAATCATAGAACAGTAATTTGGTTTTGTATCCCTCTGTCTAGGTTATAATCCATAACACTTTAAGTGCTTTTTTTTCTTTGCAGAGTACAATAACTTCACGTGGTCTTCACAAAAAAAGTTATATATTGCTAAAGGGAAAACTAATTCTGTAGCAAGACACTGAGAAAGTGCAATAATCATCATGACCATATCCTCGCTTGGGCTTTGTATTTTGAATACTGTTTAAAATCAAATCTTGTTAGATGAGGATCAGATGCACTCATTACTTTTGTTCATCCTGCCTTAGCTTTGGACAAGAAAATAATATACCTTATACTTTTTTAATGTGATTCTTTACTCAAATGCAGGGTTGCTAATGACCATTAAAGTTTAGGATGCTGTAGAATTTGATAATAAAGATAACTGTAAGGAAAGCAAACTGAAAGATTGCTCCAATAGCAAACACTTTTGATATGACAATGAATACAAGCCTTACTAAAGAAAAAGAATGTTTTAGAAAAGATGATTTATTTGTATACAAAAATGGGGAATAGAAACAATGGAATTTACTATTAAATATTTTCTGAATTGCCAATGAAACTAAATATAACATCACATATGATCCAGCTGTTATTTGATTTGTATACAAAACAGCTTTCCCAACCACTGGAGTTACATTTCAGCGGCCAGATCCTCAGCTGGGTAATTATCATTGTCACTCTGATGCCTATGGAATTACGCTAATTCACACAAACAAATTCCATATTAGCTTTAAAAAATAAACCTACTTCAAACTAGAAGTAAAAAAAGTTAAAAAGTGCTGCAACCCATGGGAACCCAGGCCTTAAATGTGAATAGAGCTAAGTTTTATTCTTAGCCAGCAAATGTTAAACTGTTGTTTAAAACTGTTAAAAATTTGGAGAGGAAAGAATTTCTAAAAAAATGCTCATCTACAGAGAGCCAAGTTAGAGAACTCCTATTCTAAGAAACAAACCCATAATACCTTCTAATAACAACAGTAGGAGAAATCTGTGATCATGTAGCATTTGACTGAGCTTGGAGTCATCTTCCTACTCCTCTGAATATAACACACACTAGCTTTATGCAAACTAGGTCTAGCATGTAAATACCAAATAAATCTATTTCTATTTTATTGTAGTATAAAAGATGAGTTGATCTCCAGAGTTAATAAGCATCTACAATTTATCTGGCATACTCATAACTACCAAACATCAAACCAGTTATCTTCATATAAAAGTGTGTTATTCATGTACAATTTTCCTTTTTCATGATCAGCTAACAAGTCTATCTAATCTAATTTTCTTCTTCAACAAGCATATGATTGGTTTTCTCTCAGGTTATTTTTATGCTCTTTTATAATCCTTTTTCAAACATTTTGTAGTATGAGGCAGGTTGTTTGGTTCCAGTTACTTTAATATTTAGGGGAACTAAAATCATTGACTTCAAAAGTTTGAAAGTTTAAGCTTTTCTAGAGCCTGAGTCTTACTTGCACTGAGGCACAGTTACACTATCATGGAAGGATACAGAGGCCTTAAGATAAACAGGAATCAGCCTTAATTCATTAGCAAATAGAACAGTTAATTCTAGTCTCAGCATGCCACAGAGTAATTGTTGTGAGCCTGATTCTCTATTAAACTACATGTACTGACACCAAATCAACTTTGTTTGGAGGGTATTCTAAGCCCTCTTTACAAATTAAACATGACTACAGATGCCAAAAGGTAGTGCAGAATCAGGCTGTGTGCATTTGACACTGATTCCCTTATGATAAGAGGTGCATCTCAGAAGATCTCTTTGTTGTTTAATTAATTTATTTAATTAAACAAATCAGTGACTAGGGATTCAACAGACCCAAAGCCTACCGCTGGTTCACTGTGTGTTTCTGAGCAATGCATTTGTGGATTTTGTGCCTCACCTTCTGTGTCCAAATATAGAGATGTTTGTTCTTCCTCAAATTCACAATCTGCTGAGACCAAATAAGTCTATATGATTTTCAGTCCTGGACTCTATCCTCTGTGTGCTACCTGGCTGTGAGTGTTTAGCACCGTGAGATGTGGACACTGGTTTCTTCTGACACCCAAATAACAATAATTTTAAAAAATAAATTAAAACATCCTTATAAGTGCCAGGTATTGATGTGAATTTACATTTCATTGCATATTTCATTATTTTTAAATTAAAATCTTGTCTCTTAAATTTTTCTTCCTGAATACTCTGGAGCTAGTGAGCTTTTCATTCAGTATGAAACAAATGGGTTGTATTGGGGAGAAAAAGGACTGGGAGAAGAGGGGTAGGAGGGGAGGTATGCACAGAGAAATAAACAATCAGAACAGGGCCTTAATCTCTGTTGTCAATGTTGTACCTGTGGTGTCACATTTGTTACACAGGGAATAGAGCTTTTAACCAGATTCAACTGTGTAAGGAACTGGTATTGGCAATGCAACTAGAAGAGAAGTTCACTACATTTTAAAGTACTGTGCACATAGTTGTCTTATTTGTAATTCCTAAAAATGTAGATTAACATGTACTTTCAAACATTGTCTTTATGATATATTAAAACACTACTGTATCTTCTCACTACACACTTGTAGTTGATAGAAATGTCTGACAAACAGATAATTTGTCAAAATCCATAATTTTCTTTTCAGATGCTTAGCAACATAATATGTAAGTAACAGCTTGAATAAGCTGTAGAATGGGCTATAATTCAGTGCATGTATATTCTTTTTCCCCTCAAGGAAGCATGAATATTGACAACAGAATTTAATCCCCAGAAATTACAGAAATTAGATAAATCTTACTTGGTATTCAAATTTAAAAAATAGAAAATATTTTATTAGAAAACACAAACTTTGCAAATGAAGATTTGGTAAATCCCAGTTAGGAAATGGAAAATGCTAGAAAAACTTGACAAAGATTTTATTTAGATTCATAGCCCTGGCAAATGAATGGATGAAAAGTATTGTTTTGCACTCCTAAAATGTTTAAACTTTCATGGCTTTTATTTTAAGTTTGATGAAAAAGAGTATCTTCCTCTACACATTAAAATACTTTACACATGAATTCTTAAGATATTTTGGCTTGCTCATAATTGTATCTATCCCATGTAAGAAGCAGAAACTAGCCTCATACCTTAGGAATCAACTAAGGAAAAGATTATAGGTGGAAAATGTTTGTTTTGTTCATTTATGCCTTCAGTATGGAATAGACTCAGTGATCTAACTTCAAACTGGCGACTGTCTTGTGCTCACAGAAAATGATGCAAGCTTGACTGAGCCCCCAGGCACACAGTGCTGCCCTGTGCTGAGATCCCTTCTGCCTCAGATGAATGGCTACTGGTACCCAAGCTGCCTGTCTGAAAGCAAGGGTGGGTGGATGCACTGTGATCACAGATATTTCAGTCTGAGCATTTCAGCTCCCTTAGGGAGTACATGCTTCATTGCCCTCTTTTTACATAATTAACATCCAGGAAGAGTGCTTTTTCCCCCACACTGAAGATCCCACTCAGAGAAGTCTCCACCTTTGTTTTTTACACAGCTGGCACAGCAATTTCAGCAGCCTTTATTCATTCTTGAAGAAAAAGAAAGAAGGCTGAGGGCTTATTCTATACATGGGCATGGAACCTTACCACAAACATGGTGGACTGTTTAGGAAATCACTAAATATCAAAAAACAATTGTCAATACCAAAAATTAGTGTTGCTCATTCCTCAGAGTCTAGAGACTATCTTGCAAATAAGTGAACGAAATTAAAATTCTAAAAGAGGAATCACCCATCACCCACAGAGACTATGTGGAGTAGCAGGCTCTTTATGGAGGGTTAGGAAAATCTTAATTTAAACTCAAACTGAGGAATTCAAAATCCCAATCCGGAGCTGCTGGAATGGATCACTGTCTTTGAAAGTATTTAATTCATTTACTTCTCAGAGCAAGTAATGTTTTAGGCTAGGCCTGAGTTATGCAGGGCTGGATGCTCAGTGTGTAACCAGCAGAGAGATGACTGCTCCCTGGGAGCAGTGCTGGGAGCCTGCTGACAGCAGCCCCCAGCAGCTTCTCAGGCTACAAGGGCAGCTCAAACTGAGATTAACTGATCACAGGCTGCCAAAGGCTCACCTTGCAGCTGAAGAGCTTCTACAGAAAGGTAACAGTAGAAGTAGAAAGCCCAAAATCTCTGCATTGTAAATAAAACCAGTGTCTAGGTAAAGAAACTGGCATTTCAGCTATAGTTCAATTACTGCAGTTCCTCACTGCTGTGGCTTCAAATCTGCGCAATCTATGAGAACTGAGTTTTCCTGTTCCATGAAAATTGTGGAAGGACAAACTGAGCCTCCTGTAGCAATGAAGTCAGTCACCAGGGAGAGGGCTGCACAAGATAAGGGTGGAAGGAGGACACATATAACTTCTTCCATCCCTGCACAGCCCTGGGGAAGAAGTGAGACTAACCGTGGTCAGAGCAGTTGGGTGTATGTCTACACTGCATAGTGTCTACATTGCATAAAGGCAAATGTCTACGTTGCAGGCTGTTTCCCCTTTCACCTTTCCCCCCCATGTGGTTTCTTTACAGGAAGGGACTGTCAGAAGACATATCTGGCACCAAGGTCTGACAGTGAGCATGGCAATAGTTGAAGATTTTAGTGGTAGTTGCTAAGTATTAAGGTACTAAAACTGAGGGGAGGAATTGTGGAAAATATTCCAGTCATAATCTTAGTAATAAAAACCTTTCAGGGCTGGCACTGCTCTGCAGCACTTTCGAGAATTGTCCATTTTGGTTAAGTTTTCAATGCCAAGGAAATAGTTCAGCTATTTAGTAATAATTTATATTAGTTTGTCATTCAAAAATAATTACTGCATATTATTCAGGGAGAAAAGTCTTCTCTGTGCAGATTGTTTTAGTAATTTTGCTGACATGAAGCTTGTGTTGCATGTTTTAAACATAAAGCTATGCCAGGACATAATTTTAAATACACAAATCCCATCAATCAGACCATTGAAATGCACAGTTCATTTTATTGGGATTTTTCTCTGCCCAATTCTCTGTAGAAAAGAGTCTGATTCTCAGAGAAGTTTTTATAACAAAAGAGAGGCAAAGCTTATTGGGCACTGAAAAAGAGATGCATATGTGAACAAGTGTCAGAAAAGCAGAACGTATTTTTTCTTGTGGTATCCTCTTTCACTCTACCGTGCTTCACAGGCCAGCTATAGCTCCCCAAGCACATAGTGAATGGAACAGTAAATTTCTAGCTGTCCAAAAAACACTGGCAGATCAAATGTAATTCCCCACAGCAGTTCTCCGAAACTCTGTGCTTGGGTAAGGAACAATGGCCGCATTCTGCCTAATGCATGCCATGTGCTTCTCTGTGTCCCAGGAGAGATTTGGCCTCAACAAAAACCCTCCCGCAGGTTCTGCCTGCAAACAGTCACTCTGCACCACCCCACACCATCCTCACTGACACTCAGGATAAAAAGTGTAAGGTTTTCCAGCAAGGAAACCATGAGGGAATAGCACCGTGGTCTAAAAAATACATCAGAGAAAAACAAACATCAGGGAGAGAGGTTATTTAAGCTAAAGAACAATGCTGGCGTGAGAACAAAGGGGTCATACTGAGATGCACAGGATAGGTGGTTCTGGTGATGCTAAGAGACCAAAGCCTTGGGCCGCTTTGCAAAAGCAACAGCAACAGCTTTACTACCTTTACTACCACATGCAAGCCATTTCTCCAGACTGCCATTGTTATTAATCAAAAAGGTGATGTGAAGCCCATATAGTAAACACCAAAAGTGTTTCCTTACTTGTTGAAATGGAAACAAACATAGGAGAAGTTTGGACACTGACAGGCTTCTTTTTTCAGCTACAGGTAGATGTCTGAGCATTCTTGCCCTTTCAAAAAGATTATCTTTGGTGACTCACGGCACATTTTGTGCATGAGGTCGTTGTGACAGTACACAGCAGTGATAAACAAGAATTTCCCACTGAAAGAAAAACTGTAAGTTTTAGTATCCCTACTGAATATAACTAGTTTGATGGGAGAAGGGTTTAAAATGGACTATTTAAGCATCACATGTTTTTTTCCCTTCATGGACTAAGTGAAGATTAGAAGAAACTGTGTTCCTCTTATTGGTTCATCTTACTCCTTTCAGGGCATTAGAAGAGATCATAGAAACACATATGTTTCTCTGATGCAACTCATTCAAAACCTGGAATCAGTTCACACCAAGACATCAAGAATATTATGATGGTATTAATTTCACTGATCATCCAAATCTTAATGAGCTGTTCCTTGCAAATCACTTTGAAGCAGTGAACATGTCTGGGACTGTCATTCCCTTTGCTTTTTACAGTCCATGCATTGGATTAAAACTGTAGGCCAATGTAGTGCCAATCAATAATTAATATCTTCATTACTAGCAGAATTTAATAATAATCCATTTGTAATAGAATTAAAGCAAATCAAACAATATTGCATAACACTGAGCACTGTCAAAGCACCCTGAAGTGGTACTGAAATACTGTAAAACCTTAAGGCTCATAGATGTCTCTACTTCCCAGAAAATTCATGCACAGATCTTCACGGAAAAAAAAAGAACCAAACAATTACAGCCATTGAGTAAACCATGCAAAATGAGATGCACACTACTTTTAGTATGAGTCAAAAGTACCAGTGTTTCCTTGACTCTCTGCTTCTCAGATGTTCAAGTTCTCCTTATTCCTTGGCTAGCCTGTTCATAACTATTGCACAAGAGCATATTTGGGCCTGAACTCTCATACTCAGTACAGTCATTGCTGACCCATCCAGGCCAGCAGCATAAATGTTACGTAATCCTACCAGGTGCCTAAGGGGACTTAGAAAAGACCAGACCATGAAAAGTACATTGGTGCTCCTGCATCCTGGGTACTTCCACATTTTTTGTGGCAATGTTTGGTACGTTTGGATGAAAAGTACAAATACAGAGAAATCCATCATTTTCAAACATGGAATTTTAAAACAATGCTTCAATGTTGGTTACGCAAAATTTGCAGTTATAGCATTCTAATGATTTGTGTTGTAGTTTAGTACTCTGAGCTTTGCATCAAAGGCACTTGAGATGAAGTTCTCCACAGTAGTTCATCTTCTGGCTCTATGGATCAAAAGCAGTTTATAAACATCACTGAATTGTGACATTAATAGCAAACACATATTAAAAAATAAACTAATAGAAAATGAAAACAACAAAAATATCAAATAATTGGAAATGCTCACATTTTTTAAGGGTTTGGGCAAAAGAGAATGAATCATTTCATAGAGTAGTGGCTCCTAGCAATGGCTGCCTCTGTGTCACATCCTGCAGAATATTCTGTATCTCAGCTCTGGTACCTACATACCTGTAACGCATACACACAGACTGGGCAGCGAAGAGGCTGAAGCACAAATGCACAATGCACACATTTTACTGCCCCTGCTGGAGGCCTGCTAACCTCAGCACTGTTGTAGAATATATGTGCAATGGAATGTGCATAATACAATTAGATCTCTATTGCATAACTATATATTATATGCAAAACTGTATAACTGTGTCCATTATATGTGCAATAAATACCATATACTTATATATTAATAGTATAGAACATATAATAACAGCAAAGAAAAAAAATCGTAAACTAGTTGGAGCATTTGGAATCTGGAAACCTTGTCAAAATAGGAGATTATTTAATACCTCCTTTCTACTTCTCAATTAAAAGAAGGCCTTAATATGACTATCATAATTTATTCTTTTCATAAGGCTGCAGGCCACATTTGGTCAGCATTATCAAAACTTTCACAACTGTATACACATTTCTTAAATATTTTGTTACAGATTTCTTACACGTCAGGGTTCCTATCCTCTGCAATATGAATTTATCTTCAAATCCTGTGCCCCAGGAGAGGCGAAGGGAGGGCTGCCATCCCTGGTGGCCAATGGTGTAGCTGTCCATGCTAATGACTCAGGGTAGGCCAGGTTGAACACGAATCAGCAGCTCCCAGGGCTCTGAGCCTGTGTGAAAAGATTGGTGAAATTCTCTTCAAGGTAAATTTTTAGGCAAAGGGTAAATGTTTTAAGAGAAAAGCGAGATTCTGTATACATAAAGAAACCCTGAAATTTTCCAAATCCTTCTCAAAAAGTGCCTAAAAGCAAACTTTTCCTACTAAATATTCCCTTGTGCTGGACTCTGCCGAACCTTGTGTGTCCCTTCCTACTCTGAAGATGCTGTGATCACAGACTCACGGAACAGGTCAGATTGGAAAGGACCACAGGGGTTCATCTGGTCCAACCTCCGTACTCAAGCAGGGCCATCCTAGAGCAGAGGATTGTGTCCAGGCTGTTCTTGAATTCTCCAGTGAGGGAGACTCCACAGCTTCACCGGGCAATCTGTTCCAGCGCTTGGTCACCCTCACAGCACACAAGTTCTTCCTTATGTTCAGATGAAACTGCCCATTGCCTCTTGTTCCAATTGCTGGGCACCACTGAGAAGAGCCTGGTCCATCCTCCTGACACCCATCCTTCAGATACTTACACACTTACTGATTCTGTAAATAGAACACTTGTGACAACTGGCACGAAGCGTGAAGGCTCAGACGGAGATTGGGTGCAGGGCACCCTTGGCTCCGCAGCACACAGCTTAGTGCGGCTGGCCGTGCGGGGCTGTGCCCGCGGTGCGCTCCGCTCCCGCCGGCCCGGCCTGCGGGGGCTGGTTGGTTAGTTAGTCAGTCAGTCAGTCAGTCAGTCAGTCAGTCAGTCAGTCAGTCAGTCAGTCAGTCAGTCAGTCAGTT